ACTAATTCTTCATGTTACAGATATAACAAGGTGCTGTAGATTAGTCAGCTGTTTGTGAATCTCCTATTCCAACACATTTTACAGGTGCTATATTGGATAGAGATGGTGACCGTGGGGGCAATTTGAGTACACTGAAGTCAAAAAACTTTGAGATGATTCGAACTTTCTGACATTGTCCGCTATCTTGCCAGAAACAGCCACCAGAAGATGGGTACACTGTGGACAGGTAGGCTTTCTTATTCAAACGATTCTCAGCTAGTCTTCCACTAAGATATTCTCCACACCTGAACATTGAGTATTCACTGGGAGAAACATTTCATCACTCATCCAAGTGACTTCTTTAGCCGCAGAGACTGACTGACTGAAGAAGTCACTTGATTGAACATGTGTCGAGATGTCCCACACTACTACAAGCCACAGGCAGCCTGTACCATCGACACAAGGCAGGATGGATCCATGCTTTCATGTTATTCATGCCAAATTCTGACCATACGATCTGAATGTTGCAGCAGAAATCCAGACTCAACATTTCTCCAACCTTCTCTTGTACAATTTTGGTGAACCAGTGTGAACTGAAGCCTCGCTTCCTGTTCTTAGCTGACAGGAGTGGTCCCTAGTGTGGTCTTCTGCTGCTTTAACCCATCTCCTTCAAGGCTTCATGTATTTGTGCTCTTCTGCACACCTTGGTTCTAATGAGTGGTTATATTGGAGTTACTGTTGCCTTCCTATTATCTCAAAGCAGCCTGACCTTTCTCTTCTGACCTCTGGCATCAACAACATATTTTCATCCAGAGAACTGCCGTTGCCTTCTCCCGTTTTGATCCTAGAGGAGGTTGTGTGGGCAAATCCCAGAAGATCAGCATTTTTTGAAGTATTCAGACCAGACCACCGACAACAATGCCATGTTCAAAATCGCTTAAATCACCTCTCTTCCCCATTCTGATGCTCAGTTTCGATTAGATTTGTTTTCTATGGCAGTCTCTGCTGCCATATACCTTAGCTGTCATTTTAGTTGTTTAAATTCTATTTGCCAGGTATAGCAGACAGCAAAGCAATTTCCCAAAAATGAAAATGTAACATGAGAAAAATGTAAATACATCTCATTTTCATATTACTATAGAAATATATAGATGTGACAATCAAACATTATTTATGGTGAATTCATCACTCTTCCACCGCTCGCTGTACAGGTTAATATACTATAATAAGACACTTTAAGTGCCACTAGAGATTGCATTCAATATGAAACCTGTGATTTACTATCAGTGTGTTTTCCACCCAAGAGCCAATTTATTAAGTATTCATGGATATGAATTGCTCAGTGTTTCTCTCCTGGAGAGTGAGTGTCGGTCTCTTGCTCCAACAGCAACGATGAAATGCACATACACAGTTACACATAATATATATGTACTATAGTCAATAAATATGATGACACACTGTACAGTTTAATGGAAACTGGACGCCTAAACTATACTATATAACCACACTTATATTTCTAAACAACCTCAATCTTTTAGGGCCCTGTGATTAATGATCACCAGCACAAAAACCGAATAATAAGCCAGCCTGAAGCAAGTATGCTTAAATAATAAGTACGGCTCCACTAAATAATGACTGTCTGTCTTTGTGTACACTTCAGGCTACAAAATTGTGATGAAAACGTTAGAGAAAGTCAAAAAACTATTGCACCAGCAGCAGTTACAGTGTTTCAAATCTGACACCGTTCATGTCTTCACATTACCGGGCTCGTCTTTCTTACACGAGCACACACGGAAAACTGAATTGCAACAATCAATTATTCTATAGCCAGAGATTTCCAGCTGAATTCACTCTTATGGGAAAGAAATCAGCAGACAGGGGACAGTTGCTATGCAAGTATACGCTCAATAAAGAAAACAAATGCATCCCTGTCTTCTTTTACATTGCATAGGAAGAAGGTTGAACCATTACGCATTTTAATATGAGGACATCCATGCTGCCAGCTGAAAGAACATCTCGGTTTTAAGAATAAACACGCATGAATCCAGACATCTTGCATGGGAGCGGGAACTCAAGTTAGCAGGCAGCCACACAGACACAAGCGAACATTGTTGGTCACTTGCCTAACTTTAGGAGTTATGCTAAAATAATAATAATAAATAAATAAATTCCCAAAAAAAAAATCACAGCCACAAATGATTTGCCAGTCAGGCAAAGATGATTTTGGCATCTCATCTCAAAAACTTTCACTGTTAACCTGTTGGATAAAAACTGTTCAAGCAGGGAAACATGGACAGACACGCTGACTCATACTTTTTTGGCCTTCTGATCTATGTAACTGCCCCGGTGGCTGTTTATCCTTCATCCAAACATCGCTATGGAAACTGACTGGGAGACTCTTAAAGCAGAGTCCATTTCATCAGCGTGAGTCGTTTTATTTATATGTTTCATGTGAGGACAACTTTGCATATCGTCTCATCTCCTGGAAACAGTGCATTTGTCCTACCTCCAGAGATCTCGTTGGCGTTCCTCGGAGGAGCAGCTGAATCGGGGAACCTCTGGGACTCAGTCTTGTCACTCTCATTTCTTTCACCTGCAGAATATAACAAATTCATAATTTTAAATTATTTTAAAAACAGTTATTTCAGAAAGTTTCTTTCTATCTGGGTCTCCTTCACTATAGTGTAATAAAATATCCCAAACCAAGTAGTACATTACTCGAGAATAGACACAGGCGAGGACACAGCAGAGGAAAAAACAGAGTGTAACGCAACAGATCAAAGCTGAGTAACAATAAGAGAAAGGGCTACATGAGGAGGAGGAAGAGGGTGAGGAAAGACGATGAGAGGTAATACGCAGAAAAGAGGAAATGAGAGGAGGGGAAAGAGAAGAAGTCGAGACAGGATAAAAGTAGAGAAAACTGAAATGATGGATAAGAAGATGAAATAGGAGTAAGTTGCATAACAGAGTAAGGTTTAGCAGAAGGTAGGAAAAACACTAAGAGGAGACTAGTCATCAGGAGAAAGGCAGAAAAGATTTGGGAGAATATAAAGCAGGAGTACAAGATGAACCAACCTTTAAATCTGCCTTGAAGTGGTCTGCTCTGCTTGTTGCCGCTGACTGCGATAACACTGAAAGTGTAGACTTTAGAAGGACTGTAGTCTGTTATCAACACGCTGGTGTCTGATTTAGATACTATGATCTCCCTCTGCTGACCCCCTGACAGAGAAAGGGAAGAAGACAAAGAAGAGGAGTGGTGAGTGTTCGACTCAGGGACTTTAATTCATGTATTTGAGTCTCTGGTAGACAAACTCAGACAAAATTAGTACTCTAAGTGCCAGATTGGTAAATTTGGCGATCCCTGAATCCCACTCATGGGTGTGGTTATTTTTATGAGTGATTTGCAAGTTTTCAGTAAAATAGTTTTCTAAGCACAGATGTTGTTGGTTCATTTGAATACCAAGCAAAAAAAATAAAGAACATGTTTTTGATGCATTAAATATCAGGACAATAAGCAGTAAGTTGTGTATCACAAACATTAGTAAAATGGTTTGTGTGCTATTCTCCTCCCTCCACAATATTTTGCACCTTTAGAAAGGAACTCGCAGAAATCCATATGAAACCGGGTCAGTCCCAGACATTCCCGAGTTCCCACCTCTTACACACATTCTTGTCGCTTTGCTCTCTTTGTAAATAGCAGCAGTTTGTTTTTTAATTGGTGCAACACATTAGTGCATTTAGCCATAAGACACCAGCAGATTACTGTTACTGACTAATACTCCGCTCTAACACTGAAGGCAGGCTAAAATTATTTTTAAGCACTAAATCTTTATTGCCCAGTAAAAATAGAACAGCAACCTCTTTGTGACTAGCTGCCCAATTTTTGCATTTCTCCCCCAATTTTTTCACATTCTGCTTTTAATTAGTTGGTCGTTGGTGAAGTTTTGCAGGTAACTGGCATTTAATTTATAAATCCACACTGATTGCCAGCATGCTGCAAAGTCTGAAGTAAGTCTGAACCTTGTGAATTTCTCTTTAATGTTTATTTCTGTGTATATAGACTGCAGATTTCCAACAGAAGAAAAATCCACTCCGATTTTCACCAACTCGTCACAGTTGAATTAAATTTATATCAAAATGATTACATGTAACTTCCAGCGTGAGCCCATCACAGACTGATAGCAGGGTGGCTCCATCTTCTTGCTATTTTATCACAATCTTGAATCATGTTGCTTTTAAGATGGCACCTGACTGTGAGTGGTCACAGACCTGGCCCCTATCTTCAGAGTAACCATTTAAAAAAAAACAACAAGATCACATATTCATTGCACAAAGCTGTGCTGCGGTCTCCGGCCACTGTTCTTCCCAGTGTGACTGTGGCATAAGTTCTGTTTTGTTTTTAATTTCGTCGCTACGGTTAGTGTTCTCGACACAGAATCAAGGTCTGAGTTAGTTTCAGATGCCCCAGAAATAAAGAGTTGATCCTCACAGTCCTCTATGTGTGTGTGTCTGTGTGTGTGTGTGTGTGTACATGTCCTCTTCTCAGCCGTTAATCCTCATCAGGCCAACAGGTCGTATTATCTCCCCACATTAATTTTGACCCAGCAATCAATCAGCCATCAGTAAGGGGTGTGTGTGTGTGTGTGTGTGTGTGTGTGTGTGTGTGTGTGTGTGTGAGAGAGAGAGAGGGAGTACGTGTCTGTGCATGCACTTCCTCAGCTCTTCTGTCTCCCGTCCCTGCGGGGTGCTGACTAATGACACTTCTGGGAAAAAGGAGATAAATCCTTCTGAAGGCAACTGAAGATCAGGTGAGGCAACTGCATTGATCAACTCCACAAACTGGAGGCTCGGCCCGTGCAGGTGAAACTACTATTAATCAACCAAACAACAGGGCTCAAGTCTAAGGCTTTGACTCGGTCTATATATGAAAACTGACTGTTCATGTCTTATTTTTCTCAGAGCCTCCTCCTAAAGTCTCTTTTTAGTCCTTCGCCTTCACAGATCACCTCAATGACTGACTTATTAAATGGGAACAGCGATGGATCAAAGATCCTCATTAGTTTAGCATCTCAGTAACCCCAGCAAACAAAACATCTTCAATTATATTTTTACAAAAAGACAAAAACCCTACTAACTGTCATCTTATTAGTTATTACAAGTTGCAGCTATTTCTGTCATTGATCCCAGGCTTCATACACATGCAGCATCTCTGTGGATTAGTTACAGCACAAACCCCCTCCATAAAACCATACATTCTCATTTTTAGATTTCTTCTTGTAAACCAATGAGCGAGATCATCCCACGTAGTGAGTTTTAGAGAAGAATGTTAGACTCAGCCAGGCTAACAGTTTGGACCTGCTTTCAGTTTTTATGTTCAGGCCCTGGATCAATTCTCAGTGGCCAAGTGATATTGATCCTTTAATTTAATGCTCTTATGCAAAGTAAAAAGGTGATTTTCTCCAAAAATGTTGAATTAATCCTTTAAAGTCATTGCAAGTCTCACAAATTCTCACAGCACAAAGTGATTTGTTTGAAGCGAAGTACATCAGCCGTGGAAAACTCATTAAAATCATCATCTATCATTATCAAGTGTAATTGAGCAGATTTTTGAAGATTATGGCAAATAAATTGTGCTTTATGTTACTTTCTAAACATTCAGTCCCAACTACAATAAACGTTAGAAAGTTGGCTAGGAGCTCATGGTAATCTACTTCACATAAGTACTGGTACAACCATAAGGAAGCACACACACTGCTGCAGTCTTTCTTGGCCAACAAAATCCCTTTAAAGTGACAAAAATGTGCAGAAAGAGTACATGCCACATGAGACCGTACTCTAAAACACAAAGTAAAACACAGTCGGATTAAATAAAAAAAATCATAAACAAAGAGGTAATAACATGGTTTCCATGGTTTAGGTTGCGCTCTTCTGTCCCTGCCTGTTATCTCCTTCTAAGTTAAACTGCATTTGAATGTTATTTAAGCTTTACTTGCATACATATTCTTTCTAGTTCATTTTGTGAAATTTATTTTTAGATAGATGTTTGCAGTGGCGGTCCTAGCCTGTTTGGTGCCCTGGGCGAACACTCCCTCTGATTCTGATTGTTTCAGGATGACCTGCCATGATCCAATGACACATCTGCTTACCTGTATCTTTTGCTCGTTTCTCCTCTTCTTTTCTCTTTTTTCTAAACTGAGCACCTGATGGCTTTGAACTTTTCTTGTCCATCTTAGTTTTAATTTTGCACTCCAGTATGAACACCCACCCCCCAACCCGAGAATCATAACCTAATAGACCTACACCTTATTTCACAGATTCGCTTTGTCTAGGGTTTATTTCTGGGATTTCGCACAACCCAGGATTCAAATCCTGAATACATAATGGGCTTGGATTTACAACATTATAAATGAAATGTGCTCTATTTGGCAGCAGCCGGCCCCCGTCCCCTTTCCACAGGCTGTGTGTGAGACTTTAAATCAGCAAACTGTAAATTATAAAATTTAAATTGTTATTGATCCCTTTACCCCTGGTCCTAAAGTGTAGATTTATTTTCTTACTCTTCTT